CTACAGCACCTCGGCCCCACCATGGTTCGTGCTGAGGCAGACAAATTTAATTGTGGCACCTGGTCTAGATGGCCAAAAATGGCCCTACCATACTTAAATTTGAATATAATTTTCTTTTCCACCCTATTTAAAAAAAATTATTTTGAATTATTTAGTGGGCCCGGGCCAGCTCTCCTCACGCCCTTTTATTCGCCACTCACCTGGTTAATGAGCTTTCTTAACACGTTTTAATTTTATTTTGCTGAACACAGTGATACCCATCGGCACTAACTTTCTTGAGAAAATCGAATATATAAAACATGCAATAATTATAAATTCCCAGAGATGGGTTAATTTCCAGGCGATTCTTGCTTGCTTGCTTGCGGGAGTGCAGCAGGCGGTTCCGATTTCCGGGAAACTCCCGCAAGTTATGGGATCCCTGTATTAAAATTATAGTGGTTGACATGACAGGATACTCACTTTTACGGCACCGCTCCTGCATATCACTTGGGGTTTCCGTCTGCTCAACACGAAGAACACGGTATCCTTTCTGTATCAGTGTTTCGCTGTACCGTCCATAAGCAATCTCTGGGAAGCCGCAATGGGCTACACCACCCTGAAAACAATTTTTAAAAATAAAGAAAAAAAAGTAGAAGGGGCATCTTTAAGCATAAAAATGAATTTCTACTTGGTTCCTAAAATATATTTGGAAATATATAAGTATCATACTGTCTATATCATACCTTCATGTAAACAATTCCTAATTCTTTGACACCAATGTCTGCATCTGTGTGATATAATTCATAAAACTTCCCCATCTACAAAAAAAAATATATTAAAGAACACAAATTGTAAAAACATAAAAGAATTATGAATAAGTGATAACATTAACAAAAATGATTTTGTTATTATGGAGGTAAACTATTATCTAAGATAAAGCCAATGATTAGTCAAATAGAAACATAATTTATAGTGTCAACTAACAAGTTTTTTGGCCAATTTTTAAACTGAGACAATGTATTTAGCCAAATTCCTCTTTAATCAGGACTTGGCTATTTAACATCTGACAGCCTATTTAACCATACTTTGTTTTGCTTGTTCTTGACTAATTTCTGAAGGTTTTTTTTTTCTTTTTTCGTTATTTAAGATTAGTTTTATTATTTAAGATTAATTAAATATTTAAGATTAGTCCGGGAGCCTAAAAACAGGCCTTGACCTCCTTGGTTCCCAGCACTTGTTTGTACAGTAGTAGTTAAGAAACAAGTGAATAAAGTGAAGAATCCCTGATAAAGATAACAATAATAACTTAATATTATAGCATATTTAAGGCAGTTTGGTTTATACTACACCGTACCTTGAAAAACATGACAGAATCAAAGTATTTGGACTTCATTTCCCACCACTGTCTCATTGCCTGGAAAATTAGGAGGTCATTCATATCATTATTATAAACCCAATTTTTGTGACACCCCTTCCAATACAGTTCTTTCTTTTATTTATGGTCACTCAGGTTTAAACTGCCTATGTAACCTCTATTCCACCATACCAAGAAATCATCATTACAAGACTGCTACTGTTAAAAATAATTATAAATATAATCAATAAAATTGTTATCAATAACTAAGTATAATATGGTTCATCCAGGTAAGTATTCACTAAATAAATAGCTTTGCTGTGTAACATCATAAACACAATATAAACTAGTAGATACTAAATAATAATTATAACAGTGCTAGAATGTTCATATGATTATTTTCTATATTTATTTAACAATAATAAAAGTAATAACTTGCTTGCTTTTCAAAATGAAAGTTTTGATTTACATTATTTTGTAATTGTTTATTTTCATGTCATCATTATCTTATCACTTTATTTATATTACTTTACTGTTATGCTTTGTTTTATAATTGATTTTACTTATATTATTGTTTAATTTAATTACTGTCTGTATATCTATGTTAAAATAATCCTAAGACTGGACTAACAGGCCCGAGAGCCAGAGTGTTTTTCACACATCCTAGCCAACTTAGGTTATATATTGTCTCTAGTATTTAATTTCCTTTAATTGTATTGTACCCACTTGTTCACGTTATTGGCTGAATAAAGAATGAATGAATGAATAACAAACTCACAGGTGTACACTTATCAAGGAAAGATTTTGGAACATGAAGAGTGGAAGGGTCGTAGTCTGGATCACCTTGCAACACTCCCTTGGCATCTCTGAAAAGCATGAAACATAAAATCAGGCCAAGGACAATTAATATAGAGTACGACCCCTATCCGAGTGGTGTTTGATAATTTTGGCTACTGGGCTTGTCACTCCAAAAAATAGGCCTAGGCTCAGAGTAGTTAAACTGTAATAAAATATTAGAGTTTCGATTGATCGCCTATGAAGATGTAATAAAAATATAAGTTGTAAATTTAAGAAAATTCATATTTTTGTAAAGTTTTGTCAATTATTCTTGTTGTATTTTTATATCAGTTTAATTTTGATTACCTAGTATAATACTTAATTAGTAACTAGCTTTTGGCCGATGGGACCTAGTTTTCTATTTTTTTTTTTTCATTCTAGTACAGACCACCTGTATATTTGTCCATGTATATTGTACTGGATGAGGGCAGAGGTGTAAAGAGATAGACCAGTACACCGGGGTAACCCTCCCCCCACTCGTCTCGACAGATGTACTGGGTTCATTGTAGTGCACATGAGCCAATTATGTACACTTGGCCTACAGTTTATAGTCCTTATCTTTATCTGAGAAGACTTGCTTCACCTCCAGAGCCATAGGTGTGACGTTCGAACCAGCGCTGATACTATGGCTGTAGGTTGCGAGCCCCTGCCTTAACCGCTCGACCACTGAACACCACAAATTACTGCTGGGCAGCTGAAATGATCGTATACCATCTGAGTTATGCTCCTTGGAAGGCCAATTACTTACTTTCGCTTGCCATCTTTCAACCATTCTAGGGTTTGATGTGGGTATTTGGTTTCTCTATCTTCTGTTGTTGGAGGCCCAGATGGGGAAGAAACCTTAAGAAAAGAAGAAACAGATAATCATCATCATGTTGCATATTGAATAATAATAAAATGATAGAGACAATCTTAAAAATCAAAACAATAATAATGGAGAACTAAATAAAAAACATACATACACTCCACTAATCAAACTATAAAATAATTGCATGGTAACATGGCACATACATAACAATATTCACTTTTATGTTTACTTTCCAAGAACATTCTGTAAACAAAGAAATGTAAAACTCAACCTCAACAGCTTTGAATGAAGAGAGTTTGGACTTGGTTGCCATGCTGACAGAAGGCGAACTCTTCACTGCCGTTGGTGTCTTTTGTGCTCCTATCACTTCCGTAAAATTTCTCTTAACTGCTCTGTTACCTGGCGTCGATACAGTTGATTTGCTATTTCTTTTTCGTTTTAAAGATTTCTGCAAAGACAATTAGTAACAATTGCTGCTGTGAATATTTCCTGGCTAACCATAAAGATGCGATCAAGAATTGAAAAAAAATATTATCATCGCTGGCAAGGAAAACAAAATTTTGAAGATGGTTGATAAAAAGTCCTGTCAATACAAAATACATTTTCAAAATGTAATATTTTTAATCTATTATGTTGTACAGTAACATCTCCCAATTACGAACCTCTCATATACGAACTCTCAATTTTACAAACTGACTTTGCGGCTTTGCGGCGATGACGTCATTACAAATGATCGTTTTCAACTACAAAAACACTTTTAAAATTATTTAAAAGTCTTCAGAAATAATTTAAATTGTTACATCAGAGAAAACATTCAAACCTATAGAGTTTCAAGCAAGAAATATCAATAGTTTCTAGCCGAGAGCTGTGCATGCTTATTCAGGCATACTGTACAGTAAATCTCACTTTTTTTATTATTGGAGGTGCTTTTCGTATGAATTCGCAATCTTTATGAAAAGAATAATAACACTAATTCTGGGCATTATATGGTGATATTTTCTTCCGGAAATCACTTCAAATGAATACTTCACAGTTAGCGCAGGTAATTTTGGCTTCTGTGAAGTATTATTTTGTTGGGGCCTACCTAGCCCTGCACTTTGTAGCATAGGCCTACCCTCACCACATCGAGATGCTGAAAATTCAAATTCTCTGAATTATGAATTTTCTCATTTAGGAACCGTGTTCGGACAGAGGGGCACAGAATTGGGAGATATTACTGTATATGAAATGTTAAAAATACCTTTGGTGTCTCAGGATCTGAGTCGACTGTACTTTCAGAGAGATCATTCTCGTCAACACCGCTGCTTTCATTATCTGATTCTAACTCGTCTTCATCAGGTTTAAACTCATCACCTGTAAAGAAAATTTATATATATATATACTGTCTCT